GAAGCCTTCTTTGTCCCGAGTCTAGATTAGGTCTCCTTAATACGTGTTCTCACAGTACCGTGATATATATGTTCTCATTGTACCCATCAAGGGATGCTGTGTTGGGGGCAGTGGTGGTTCAATAATAGAATTCTTGTCTTCCATGAGGGAGACCCAGGTTCTAGTCCCAGCCAATGCACCTCAGGCACAGCCACCACCTGTCAGTGGAGGCTAAACAGGTTCCACCGGAGCTTCCAGAGTCAGACAGACCAGGAAAAAAGGCCTGGTGATCCACCTCCAGAAAATCAGTCAATGAACACACTATGGATTCACAATGGTCTGATCCTGGTGTGCATGAGGTTTCTACTGGTCAGGGGCTGATGCAGCTCAACAGCAGCTAACGACAACAGTACCGTGAAATTTCCCTTTTCACAAAACACATTCCACGTGTAATTCCTTGTGAAATGTATACACAATGAAGGCATAAACAGAATCAGTCTCTTCACTATTATATCCCAGTGTCCAGCACAGTGCAGGAAAACTAGGTCAGCTGTGCTTTTTAAGAACCACTCAGCAGAGTGATGGAAAAGGAAGTCAGATTGCTGGGGGTTAACAAAAGTACCAGGTAAGGAAGTACAGGCAGAGAGTGTAGGCTGATTACAGCTTAAGAAGTTTGACTGAAAAGGGAGAAGAACAGAAAAACAGAGGAGGGTAGTGGCAGTAAGGGAGGGAGAGTCTGTGACTGTTAACAGGGAGAGGAGAATGAAGAGTTCAGAGAATGACTGAGGAAGTAAGCAGCTGGGTTTGGAGATAAACAGGTGATATGAGAAATCTGAGTTCTCAGTGTCTCCATGCCAAAACTTTGCACAAATATTTACAACGTGGTGACTAATAGTAACAGAGAAATCAGCGCTGATGGCGGCTGCTGTCAAGTGGACACAACAGAACGACACATCGCCTAGTCCTGCACCATCTCCCAATCACCAGTGCGGTGAGCCTGATGGAAAATGGGCTCATATGGGGCTGTAGCTCTCAGTGATTACTCGACACGATGCAGTGACGAGATCAAACGCTTTTATTTACTTACACAGTGGTTAGGATGAACATGAACTGGGCAAGATTCATTACAGGGTTAGTCTCCCTCAGACCCGTCCTAGGATGAGTTGACACAGGCAATCTCTTCTACACATGTATGCCCCAAGATCCGCTGTAGGTGAAGACAATGGGATAAACACATCTAGGGGTTTTATACCTCAGAGGGCTTGGGAACAGGGAATGGGGTCAAGAGGAAGGAGCCTTTGTTCAGCTGCACTTGGCCTGACCATCCTGTGTGTCTTTGTTCAAACAGTACAGCAATCTTGTGAACATGGGTGCATAACCAGAAAGAATATCCCCTCCCCTCTAGCTACGAGACTGATTTCGTAAGCCTGGAGAAACCACCTCCCCTGGGGTGCATACTTTAGTATGATTAGTCACAGCAGTGAATCTCATCCTGAGAAAGAAAGCAGTCGATTTTCTCCACCAGCATGTTCAAGTCCATCACTGAGGCCAACATGCCAACCCATCTCACCAAGGGTGGTCCACAACTTCATTGGCCCTCTGCGTCACCAAACATCGTGTCCTCCTCTAACGACTGATTCCTCCTGATGACTTCTGTAAAGCAGGTCAGACACTGTTCTGTTGGCATCCATAAGGTTTTCACTGGCTAATTTTTGGAAGTACACTGCCAGACCTTTCTTTGTAGTCTGTCTTAGTCTGGAAGCTCTGCTGAGACCTGTCCACCATGGCACAGATTCTAGCATCACAGTAACACACTAGCTACCCGAGTACGACAAACTGACAGGCAGGTGGTGGAAAAATGAGTGCCTAATAGTAATTCACAGGAAGTAACATATTAACACATATTTCTTGACTTTTTACTTATAGATTTTAATATGAACACTGAACGTGTTTTATCTCTTTACACATTTTTCTAATTGGAGGAATGTCTGGTCTCAATTAGTTGGAGGGAAAAAGGAAGTATGAGTGGTTTTGGTTTAGTTAAAGAAGTATGAGCGGTTTTGGTTATGCACATTATCCACACCTACGACTTTTTCCCTCCAAAACTAAATCCAGTTCTTCTCACAGTACAAGGCAGTAATTTCCACAGAAAGAGAAGGGCAATCCTGTTCAAGGTCTTTCTACTGTGTAGTGGTTCCCTGTTGGCACTCAAATACCTGCTACTTGAGTGAACTGTATTCACCTGTTTTTGTTCCCAGGGTACACTGTTATGAATTGAATTGTATCCCCCGAAAACGTATGTTGAAGTTCTAACCCCTGTGCCTGTGAAGATGATCCTATGTGGACATAAGATTTTTATTTTGTTAAGTTTTATTATGTTATGGGGTTTTATAAAGGGGAGCATTGACACAGAGTGACACATACGAGGGAAGACAGATGTCATGTGATCTATAAGCAGCCAAGAAACGCCTGGGACTACGAAATGCCTGAGTCATCGAGAAAGAGGAAGCCCGTCAAAGAGATGGTTCCCACACAGTGGCTGCAGCAATGGGCTCAAACAGAGCCAAGACTGTGAGCACGGCGCAGGACTGGGCAGCGTTTTGTTCTGTTGTACATAGGGTTGCTACGAGTCAAAACCGACTCGGGGGCACCTCACAACACAGAAGCTGAAAGAGACAAGGATCTTTCCCTAGAGCCCAGAGAGAAACTGAGAGGGAGGGGAAGAAAGAGGGAGGGAGGAAAAGTCAGAGATTAGCCCTGCTGACACCCTGACATCAGCCATGCAGCATCCAAAACTATGTGATAATAAACCGCTGCTTTTAAACGCCATCCTCCTGTATTTTTTGTTACGGGAGTATTTCGTAATTACGACAGGTACCCTCTACCAATCGCGTCACATGATGTTAACTGCATACACTAGATGCTCAAAGAATATTGAATACAGCATGGACTGCCAGAAGAGGGAACAAATCTGTCTTGGAAGAAGTACAACCAGAATGCTCCTTAGAAGCAAGTATGGCAAGACTATGTCTTACATGCTTTGGCCATGTTGTCAGGAGGAATCAGTCCCTGGAGAAGAACACCATGCTTGGTAAAGTAGAGGGTGAGTGAAAAAGAGGAAGACCCTCAACAAGATGGATTGACACAGTGGCTGCAACAATGGGCTCAAGCATAACAACGATTGTGAGGATGGCGCAGGACCGGGCAGCGTTTTGTTCTGTAGTACACAGGGTCTAGTAGATAGGGTCGCTATGAGTCGGACCCACTTGATGGCATCTAACAACAAGATGGTCAAAGAAAGCAGCCACCATTCCAGCCGTGATTTGACTTTTCCACTAAAATGCCTTCCTACTTAAAGCTGCTCAACAGGCTTCTACTAAAACGATTTTTTTTTTTTTTTTTTAATCAAAAGCATTTGGCATTCTTTTAAAGCACAACTATCCTTGGGATGCTATGAGTCGGGATCGACTCAACGGCCTCGGGTTTGGTTTTTGGTTTCATCCTTGGGAAGGGTTACACATTAAAACATTTTTTATTGAAGCCAAAGGATGGATGAAAGATGCAGAAGGCCTAAAGTTTGAATTTTTTTTTATTTTGTTTTGTTTTAATCAATAAAACTGCCCTGCCTTACTTTCTGCGAAGGTTACAAAAGTATGTAACTACTTTATTATACCTGTGCACACAAGTATTTTAAATACTTTACAAATAATACGGCTTCTTTAACAAAAATTAGAATCAAGTCAATTAGCAAGGCGCTGAGAGAAGTGAAGCAAGAGTGAATTTTAAAAAGGTCAAATGAAATAAATGGCGTGGAAAAAACCTTTCAAAAAGTTGCTAAGCTGCGCATAAACATGTAATTATCATCATTACCGTGGTGAAGAGTGGAGCATAAGTCTGAACTACCTTGTGGATCGTGAAGGTTAAAGAAGAGACCGCAGAGAAGACGGCAGGATGTGCTTGCTGGGGATCAGGGAGAGAGGAGAGAAAAGCTGAGGGCTGGGAGAGTAAGGCCTGGTAAGGTCTCGTCTCGGTGGCTGATCCGGGGCCCCACTACCTGCAACTCTGCCGGTGCCAGGACCTTCGACAGCACTTGTCAGACCGCATTGTGACTACTCTAGTTGTCTTGTTGGCCTTCCCACAGTAAGCTTAATACATTTTCATTAAATGTTATCAATCCTCTTAACCGGAGATGTCAACGTCTGCAGCACACTCTGAGGTCCACCGCGGTATCTATGCCTCCCAAACGGGACATACCCCGGTTTAACCGCGCATCCCGGAGCCCAGGGGCCCCCCAAGACATGCAAGCACGAGGTGGGGCGTTCCAGGCAGCCCGAGGGACCCCCAACCCCACCCCGTGCTCACAGTCCAAGTAAGAGGGTGGACGACTCCCTAGGGCTCCCTCCCCCTGCCTGCACCCACCTTCACCCAGCTCTGAAATTCGCCACTTCCCCTTCCCGCGTCCACTACTGAGCCCACCTTTCAGGCATGCGCAGTGGCTGCGGCTGTGCCGCCCGCGAGCCCGGGAGTCGGTCGCACTTCAACGGGCGCCGGCGCTCAGCCAATCAGGAGACGTCTTATTGCCCGGGAGCCCCGCCCCGACAAGGGAGATATGGTGACAGGCGAGGGTCATGAAGTGTAACGACTCCTGAGCTCCCCGAACGCAGGCAGGGCTGCGGCGTCCCAGTCCCCGGCCCGCGAGCAGCTCACGAGCCCGGTGGTGCCTCCTCCTCGCTGGGCCTGCGCTGCGGGCGGTGAAGCCGGGGGTCGCACCGCCCGTC